CTAATCCCATGATTTGCTGCTTTCAATTTAGTCAACTGTCATCCAGCTCCGGATCCTAGCGCCGGATCAATGTACGATTTGTCCTTAATTTGGGATCGGAGGGAAATCAATTCGATTCCTGACCTTCGAATCGATGCCACGCCATCCGGCCCCTCGATTCTTAACCGGAGTTGGGTGTTTGGACGAACGTCCTTCTTCGCGGGTCGTTCCGTCGAGTTTCCATCATCGGGGAGAGCTGCGAGTGAGAATTAGAAACGGCAGCGGCTCCTTCAGACATCGTCGGAGCAATGCAGGAACCTCTAAAGAGCAGAACGTCGAAAATGTGCGTAATGACAGAAATGTCGTGGACGGATCTGGGGCGATCCGCAGCTCCTCGGAGGTACTTGTATCGATCCGATGTTCTGCGCATGGCGAAAAAATTCCTCTATATCAGAGATTCGAATCTTCTATTCAGGGATCATCCAGAAAAAAAGGGAAGAGATCGCTCGTTCGTCTGCCGTTTTCCACAAGCGGGAGAATGCTCCAGATGATACAATCTGTATAATTTGAAAAACGGCTTGTGTCTTTCCGATAATGGTATTCGCCATCAGTGTCTTCGACCGTCTACGTTCCGTCAAAGAAGTCATCGCGACTTCTGCCGAGCGGCTGCCATCTCTATCGTTTGTTTTGCACATGGAGTCACGCCCGCCTCGCCGGCAACTACGCGTGAAAAAAATACGTACAGAATTGTCGGGTGGAAATATCTCCGCCGTCGGCGCCGTCTACAAAAGGACGATGGAACATATTCTCCCACAACGCCCTCGTTTTCCGCCGACGACCCGGAGTCGCCGTCCTCATAGACGACGTCTCTCCTCCGAAATTAGCCCGTAAGACTTGTGTAACATCGTGACAAAATCATGGCTGCCTCAGCCGGCAGCGGAGGAATTCATAGAGGAAAAATGCCTTTTTAGCTTCTCCTCCCGCCGATTAACTGGGTCGAGCCAATCGTGAATCGTGCCCTCTTCTCATCGTCTGTCGATCATGAGAATCGGGCGCTCCAAGTCAGTGGTCTCCTCGCCACGGCCACCGTTTTCGCCCCGGCTTCGAGGTAGCCACCGCGCCATTAAAATGTATATTGCTTCTGATGACACGTTTTCGGAATGGGCCTTCGTATATTCGGGCCGGAGTCGGAATCTCGGATCTGATGGATCGAATTCCTCACAGCGTTCCATTCTGTGTCTGCTCCCCTGAGATTATTTTCCTTCGGAAGATCTGTCAGGGCATGATTCCAGGCAGAATAACTTTTGGGAGGAATTAATTTTCAATATTCAGTTCAGCTCTGGATCCCCGGAGAATTTCCAATCCGATTGTTCGAAGACGACGCCTCACGAGTCACGATGGTCAAGAGCAGCCGTGATCGGAACTCGTTCCTAGAGACGTGCCGCGTGCTGCCGGGGAATGTCAAGGCCGATCTTAATGCGGCTCCGATTATTGTTATTATATTCAAAAGCATCAATGGCCGCCGTTGGTTACGCCTTCGTAGCCTCTATGGAATGGAAAGACAAACAGAGCCGGCCTCATCAGAAAATATCAAAGCAGCGCCGGCGTCGAGAAGTTTGAGGCTTGGGACCCGGCCACCCGCCACAACGTCATCGCTGCGACGTCGTTGACAACATTGGCGACGGCAACAACGAAAACGATAATAATGAACGCAGTGACGTCGCCGACCATGACGGGAGCAGCATCTGATTCGGGAACGAACTAGATGCTGTCAGAATGTCGACAGAAAATTACGGTCAGCCCTGCGTCGTCCTCGGCGGTCGCGAGATCACCCGACCGAATGAGTGAGGAGATCCGGGCGCGTCTCCAGGACGTGCGTAAAAAGCGTCAACTCTGCTTAGCATATTTTCCGACATCGTCGCCTGTTTCGAGCCAGTGAGTCAGGCGTCTTAAAGTTCACGAGTTCCGCGGCGTATGCATCGGCGGCTGCGTGCGACGTCTCGCGGCGGGGTTACTTTGAGGCGTATGATATCAATGCGAAAAGAACGATGCCAGATGATGAATATCTCGGCGTTGCGACACTCCCTCAGGGAGAATCGATGAAGTCCTCGGAATCCAAGAGTTCCGCTCATCGACAACTTCTGCAAGCTCTTGCGCAAGTAGGAGGAAGTGTAGGGACGACGAACTGTCGCGTCGCTCATTGTTTTCGAAACAAACATCTGTACCGAGAGGGAATCGATCGATTTTCTGAAGAATACAAAGCCATCGATTGTAGGAAGTCCACCGACAACCGAAGAATGATGTCTCACTTGCCGCTTCGGGAGGACGGGCAACAATCGATCAAAGGATCAATTAGATTTCGCTCCATGGCGATTCTATTTTGTGATCGTTTACCAGCTCGCTTCTGCCAAGGTTCTGCGTTTGTGTCTTCTTTTGTTTTCCTTCAGGGAGCCGTTGTGAGCCAAGTGTTAAGTGCGAGTAATGGTGGTACGGGGGGATCAGAACGGTATCTGAAATACTGTTGCTGGGACCGAGACTGCACGATTCGGCTCGATGTGCGCTTGGATCTGTAGGAAGATATCTATTCGAAACCCCAAGAGGAACGGACTCTGCCTGACAGAGAAATACGAGCGTTCAATAAGCGAGCAATTTACCAAACGGGCTATTTACGCTAGTGGAAGAAGAGCCGTACATCAGTGTCTCAGTCGTTCATTAATCGGTGTCGCCGACATTTTCGGACGTTGCATTGAAAATCTGAGAGATAGCTCTATGAACACAGATGAGCGGTCCGAGCTCTGAGTTGGAAAATATTCCGAAAGTTTCAGGCAGAAAGTTCATTTTCGCCCTCCGATGGCTATTCGATCTGAAGGCTATGATTGGGCTGTCTGAGCTCAGATCCGGATTGGCTCACGCTGGAACGAGAGCTCCGTAGTCGCGAATTCGCTGATTCAGACGACGCAGTGCCGAAGTCTCGGGGAAAGACTTCGCTCCCCGAGAGATGCGTGCTCCCAACGCTTCTGAGCGATTTCAATCGATTGGAAATTCTTGAGTTCGGGTTGACCGATTTCTTTTCAATAGATTCTGTCAGGATCACAGCCGTTCGGTTCCGTCAACTGCAGTCATGGGCTCAGGCGCTCAAAGGTAATATTAGCGTATGAGCCAGCACGCTCACCGGCGCCGGTAAGGTTGACGACCTCGATCCCCTGGCCCGATCATTGCCCGCTATAATTGGTACTTATCGTCCACGATAGTCACCTCATCGTTGACTGGCGAGAAATCGGGGCGAGAAATCGATCTCTCGATCCAAAGACAGAGACGACACGACGGAGAGCCACCGACACTGCGGCCGCCGCCGTGGAACGATTCATGTGTGAACTCATCCTAATATGATTGTCCAGCTTCATGAGCCGCTAATGAATATTCGCGACATTTCCCCGCTTGGAGGAGCACGACGTTGAGAGGGATTCCGCATCCTTCACCCTGCCTCCGGGGATCATTATATATCTGTGTCTTTCTTGATCGCCATTCGTTCGGAAAGGTGCTCTTCCTCGTTCCCACGCATAAATTCGTTGGGCAATGGGATCTTGCGCAGAATCAAGAAAAAGTCTCTGCTGAGAAGCGCGTCTTGTGATCTACGGGACCTGCAAAGTGATATACAAATGTTTATTTCCTCTTGGTGCATCGAAGCTTGATTCCTCCACGTTTTCCATCCCGATAGGTAGAAATAAGCTTCAGATAAGGGCAAATAACCGATGGCACCGCTCTCCGAATACCATTTGAAGTGTCGTGAAGTAACATTCACGAACCTCGGAATTACAATACTGTTTTGAAATAAATCTCGTTGATCGAATCGACTCCCTGAAATATTCTCCCCCGTCGAGATCAAGGATCAGGCATGCCGATTCACGGATGTTCAACGCCGGTCATAGCTGCAAAGCAGAGGCTCTTTCGCTCTCGATCTCTCGTGGTGATATAATGTCATGCATTACGAATGGAGTTAAGGACTTTCAAACTGGTTCAATGGGAAACGAGCCCGAAAAAATCGAATCAAGAACGAATGTGTTTGTTGCTTCTCCACTGATATATGTAAGTCGTAACCGAAGTCGAGCGACCGACAGGCAGATGGCTGGCAATAAACATGCGACGGATTATCGTCCCGAAGAACATTTTTCTCTACATTTCTGCCCGATGACACGGATCGCTGCTGGAGGCTCGTATTAGGGTGAGCCGAATCGTTAAGAACCTTCTCCCATCTCGGTTTCGCTTGAACGTCGATATCGAAACTTCCCCCTACTAATGCTTCCGTTCTCCTAATCAGCGTGCTGCCTCTCCTAGTCAGCGGTCTCTTATTTTAATATTTCTCCCGGCTGAACGAGCGACCTCCTCTTGTCACTTTTTCCGTACCGAATTACCGTCGGCGTCGGTAGACCGACGAGTCTGGCGGAGTCCCGGAGGGAGCTCTTAGCGCGAAGGCTGGGTTCGCGGAATGCGAGTAGCATTTGGGCCGCTGATTGTGAGCCGTGTGACGAGTCAAAGAAAAAACAAATTGAGAGTGGGCTACTGATGAGGCTACATTTGACGCATTACGTGACTGCCCTGTAATGTCTTGATTATTGGCTCTACTGAAGTTGTATCGGATAGAAAATTAGTGGGGGGATCGAAAGTACCGTCAAGCGCCTCATCTGAGAAATTTCGACTAGGGACAGGGCCGATGGTCGAGCGAAGTACGGTCCGCTTGCTCCGTACGAAGCGAATCTGGGCAGGCTCAATCGGAAGTTCGAATTCGTTGAGCGTGGGAAATACTCGCCGAATGTCCCGCTCGGGTTAATAACCTGGGCCGTAAAACCCGCAGTGCCAAGGGAGAAAAAAATGATATATCCCATAATATTCTCGTCGAATCGAAAGACGATAATTAGTGAGTAGTGAAGTGAAGGGTTGGCAGTTGGGGGTGTTTACAGCCATCATTGCTTGATACCCGACTCTAACCCGACTTTTGGCGAAATATTAAAGACTACAGACTGCATTTTCATCATCATTCCTTATTTTGTCACTTGGCCCGCCCTCGATTCAACTCCCGAGGGTAGAGAACACTTTGAGCTCGTCGATAAAATTTCTCGTCGGAGGGGAAACCAGGCTTCAAGAAGAAAGTCCAGCGGACTCAGCCTGGGACATTGTCAACAATCTTGGTCGGTGATCGATTGATTTTACATTGAACGTCATCTGAATATCAATTATCAATTATTTCGAATATTATATTCCAAGTGAGAATCAACACATTTGTCTCTTCAATATCCGAAGCGATCGGTGTAACTTTGATTGCGTTTTGTAGCGTTTCGGTCCAGAGCGTCCAGTCCCCGACCCTGCTCTGACGACTCGTCACGAGGAGGATTGGGGTCCGGATATCTTGGTTGTTGAGTTTGTTTTGAACAATCAGGTAACAGACTAGAAGGCTTGATGTTGAACAATAAGGGGGCCGCCGGAGTTGGAAGATCTGTAAATGTGGAAATTCCGCTTTATCTCAACAGATCTGATCAATCCTTCCGGCGATTTACTAAAACGGTGAGCGGAGCCCAGGTGGAGAAAGAAATGGTTCGAAAAGCTCACCGAATGTCGATTTCCCCCAAGGACTGTACTGTGCTCGCTCTTCGTGCGAGAAAAGCGACGCGTAGGAAGGTTGACTAGATGAGACCGACGGTTCTGTGTCCTGAACGGACAGATTATGGAGGCTACTGAGAATCGTGCCGCTCAAGTCGTTGTAATTGGAACGAACCCTACTGCTTGTTGAGGCCGAGGAGAGGAAATCACCAGGAATTCCAGGCGGCGACGGCTCGTCGAACGACAGCAGCGAATGGACCTCAGAATCTCCGCCTCTGACGCGTTCCCTGACAGCGGGCTCTCGATAATCTCGTCTTTGACCGATCGCGCCGCTTGCGCCGCCCGCACTAGCAGCTGCATAGGAGGCTCTCGGAGCCTCTGTTGAGACCGATTTACCGGACGGGAAAGCACCCGCTCGAGATTGTACGGTCTCGCCGCCGCTTTGATAAGTTTGATGGAGCATTTGACTGGAAGTCGCCCCGGCCACACTTGTTGCATATTGGTTGTAAACATCCGATATCCCCAAGTATTGCGTATTCAATGATTGAGCACCGGTATGGGATGATATCACTGATGGGAAGAAAGATGACATTCCGGGAGGGGGGGAACAAGTCGAACAAGGAGAATGAGTAGTCTGTGTTGAAGTATTTCTCGTTGGAACCGTGCGCGTCGGAGCTATCTCCATGCCGTTCGGCTCCTTTACTAATTTTTGGTTCGCCTTTAGCTGCGTGACTTCGTTCTGCAGGGTCTGCATTTTTTTCGCCAGGAGCGAATTGCTTTTCTTATACCGCTCGGTTTCGGCGCGTTCCTCGCTAAGTTTGCCCTCGAGCTCCCTCAACTTGTAGTCTGTCTCATCGAACTTTTGCCACGACCGCTTGAGCCGCTCGCGCAATGAGTCTGTATCGGATTTGGCTTTCATCAGGTCTGATCTGCTTGACTCTAGCTCGGTGGCAAGTTCCTCCTTTTTCTGCTTTATCTTGTCACGGTCTGAGAGGAGCTCCTTTTTCACGTTATCGAAATTCCTTATCCTCTTCTCTTTCGCCGTCAGGTCCTTCTGTAGTTTAAGAATTTCTTCCTCCTGAGTAAAAGTTTTCACTCGGTGATCGTCGGCCAATTGTCGAAGATCCACGAGCTCCTTCTCTAGCGCCTCGACTCGGTGATCGGAAGCGCGCGCCCTCTCCACCACTAAGCACATTTCCCGCTTGTGCGTATCCAGGATTTCGTTGGTTTTCTCGCGGTGGGCGTCCATGGCCCCAACGAGTCCCTGGAAGAAAAGATACCTCGTCAATGATTTGGGAGGTGAAAGACCGCAGAGGGAGAGTAGAGAGAGAGAGAATTATCCAATCCGCGCACTCCTGAATCGATCGGTGACTGGACAAGCATCGAAGGAGATTTCACACCGGCGGGGACTGACCTTTTTGAGCTCGTTCACCATTTCGAGGACTTCGTTGACGAAATCCTTATACATCCTGCCATACTTGACGATAAACTTCCACAAATCGAGCGAGTTATGAGCTTTGTTTGCGAAAGCTTCCTGCAGCTCCATATCGTTCGGGAAAATTTCGGCCACTAGGTCTGTCAAGTCGTCCAATGATGTCACAGCACAACACTCCGCCTGAGCAAGGCAATGAGGCTGGATCTCCCCTTCCACTAGTTGTTGGGACCGAGCGGGAACTTTTGGGGTGCGGCTCTCGATATCCTCCACTAATCGTAATGGCTTCGAGATTGCGAGGTAGGTCGATGAGGATCGACCGCTCGAGCTGGCTGTATCCAGACCGAATCTGGAGCCAAGGATGTCCTCGATATTGAAGCCAGTGATCTCTTTCATTCTCTCTAAAACGGCGAACTCCAGCGCATCCTTCGGTACACAGGCTGCGCTCCCTGTCGCCGATCCGACCTCCGCGGCCGGTGCCGCCGCATCGATAATAGTTTCGTCGTCGTCGTCTTCGTTTTCATTTTCGTCATCGTCGTCGGCGATCGCCGCAGCGGCATTCTTCTTCTTCTTGTTCTTTTTCTTGTTGCGTTTCTTCTTCTTCTTTTTGCAAGCAGCTGCGCCATCGAGCTTCACCAATTCTTCGTACGTACATCCCGCGAACTGGAACACCTCGTCACAATCGCTGTCATCGATTCGTTTGGGCGTAGTGGTCATCAGAGTGATGTTGTCCACCGATGCGTCTTCTAGACGGAGCAGCCTCAAAGCTTTCGTCGTGGCCCCCACCACTCGGACGTAACCGACCTGGAGCTGCGGTGACGTCGGCGAGGGCGGTGGTGCGGAAGGTTCTGGCAGGGTCTCCTCGATCTTCGCACCATCGTCTCGTACCCTGGCAGGCGTTGTCAACACAACTTTAGGAATCGGAGGAGCCGACAGCATCTTGGACTCGGGACTGCTAGCCTCGATTTCGCTTAGCGATGGAGTTTCTGAAACGTCAGGCGTCGGAATACCTCTGACGTCAGACGACGATGTAGCCGCCGACAGCGTTGGCGAGCGTCGCGTCGGAGATCGTGTCGAACTAGCCAAGTTCGGAGAGGAACTTAGTTTGGTGGGCCTGGTCGCGCTCTCTTTGTCGCTGTTGACTTTGGTAGTTTTTTTCGGAAGCACAGCAGCCTCGTGACTCGGGTCGATTTTGATTTCTTTCACCTCAGCCAAATTCTTCAGCATCACAACCAGCTGTTCCCTCAGCTGTGGGTTCAACTTAACGTAATCTTGAATGAGCTTATCAACATCAGCCGCTTTCTTGCCACTCTTATCGGAAGATAGTAGGTAGTCTATGACGAAATCGATGAAATTCCAATCGAAGTTTTGCTTCTGTTGCTGATGGAAACAATCGTTGACAGCTTTGATATCGTTCAAGGAGCAAACTGTTCCGGCTGCAGAAGTTTCTGAGCCAGGGCTCATCGCTGAGCTGGAATAAACAGAACAAGGATACCTCAGCTATCTCGTCACCTTTCGTTAATTTGGGCAGGACTGAGCGATCATGACCGCATGGAGTTCTCATGAGGGCCCGGAGGTCGGCTAACGCTTTCCGGCGGGAAAATATCTCTTTGCCGAACGAAACCTCATTCGACAATCAATCATGACATATCCGGCTGAGTTTGCTCGCGAGAAGTCACAAGGCGAGATACCACGGGAGTCCTCTTCTCGAAATAGGGCGGAGCATGAGAAAAAGAGAGGAACTAACATTCTCAGGATCGGGACCGATCCTTCGGCCATCGCTTCGCACCAATAGTCAATAATATTTAACCACAACCACATTCTGCCGCTTGCCTCGGCGTCTGCCAGAGCGGACATAGAGCTTCGAAGCCCAATTCAGGCCGTAGGCTCGGAGAGAATGAACACAACCAAGAATCGTTGGCGTGCTGCCAGGTCTCGCTCAGCTGTAAGCAGCAAAGTCCGCTGTTAGGAGGGGCGGGCGCACTTTTTTAAGACGGTGCTCGATATGATCATGACCATAAAACCACGTCGACGTCAAAGCTCCTCGATAATACAGTCTCGATGGGGGAACTGTCGACGCCTAATTCCCATCAGCGTCGTCGAGCCTGGTACAGGCGGATGGAGATCGCCTCCCCGGAGCACCTCAGGCTCGCTCCGACGATTTCAGTCAAATACCGGGGAACCTTGGACACCGAAGACAGATTTCGAGATGGCCACCGAAAGGACCCCGTCTACATGTGAGCATCCGTCGCTCGTATGGCTTCCGCATGCCGTAATCTCCGTAAGCAGTGAGCGGCACCAAAGAATGGAGAATCCCGCCGGCCTGACTGGGCTAGTGCGCTGCGAACGAGTATTGGTTCCGATCGCGCAAGCTGAAACGGTCACACGTCCTTCACGAATCGTTGTTCGGAGCGGTCGTGAGAGGAGCACTCAAGATTGATTCGGAGATCTACGTAAGCTTTTTGGAGATTCACCGCGAGCTATCCTCTGGGATGATGGGTTCCGAAATCTTCCAGAGCGCGGATTCGTGACGCGGCGCCGGCGATCGAATTCCTCCCTATCCTCCCCAAGCTTCAATCGAAAACGACCGTGTTATCCCGGAAGTGTCACAAGGGATATGTTCGTGGTAATGAACGAAAATGAGATTTCTGAGATTATCCGATGCTGTGCAATCGGAAACGTTCTCCCACACACAAACTCAGCTCTGGCAGCTGCTGTGTATAAGTAGACGAAGTACTGAAAAAATCCTACCAGTTTTCTTTGACGGTCCTCGATACGGCACCCTGGCCAAATTTTCGCACGAGGGTCGAATAGAATTCATCCGATTCAGGGCCTGCAGGCATCGAAAACTTGATCACTGCACCTTGATCAGCCGCCGCCGGTAACTTTTTCGGAGCGCTCTCCGCATCCATGACTTTCGCCGGGGAAAGATGTTCCGATAGGGATTTATTTCTTCTTCCGAACGGGGAAAATCAACGGAGAAAAAAAAGAGAAAAGAAGTAAAGTTTCGATCGCCGATGCGACGACGACGGCACCATTCAGACTAGCACTCGTGTGGTGAGAAGAATATTGAGCCACTTTCAAAACAAACTCTCAGACCAGCGTGGCGCGCTTTTCAAAGATCCCGAAAAAGCGATCCCTAGCACGCGGACAAGGTGATAGCTATCTCGAATTGTGAGAGCGGACTCTGGCAACGAATTCGTTCCGCGGGGGGAACTTCGCGAAAACCGAGTTGGTCAAGTGAAATATCGCTCATCAACAATTGGCATTACTCCCGATGCATTCGCACGACGATCCGAGTGACGAAAAACTCGAAGATCTGCTCACCGAAACTCAGAGATTCGAGCTTTCCTTCGCGACTCTGACGCACCTACTGATACGGACGGGTTTGTTTTCGAGTCGGACCGAATAGGGAAATCCCTCCTCACCCTCGCAAGCGAAACGTATGGTCAATTGCGATGGACAACCACCTCGCATCCCTAGCGAAATCCCCAGTATCTGCATGCGCGCGCATCATGGGAGACGCGCACAATGCATATTCCCGCTCACTCAGCGAGCGGTTTCGCGCACGGAGTACGTGACGCTGATTCCGCCTCAGCGAACGCTGGTTACCTGCGAAAACCTCAGGTGCCTATCCAGGCCACCGCTCCGCGAGCTGGGTGATCCTCCGTTCCTCAGCGCTCGAGCTCCAGTCATTTCTATAAACGCGTCAGAGCTTCGGGGACTACTGCAATTTTCAGGGCACGACAAAAGTATATTCGAGATGAGAAGAAGGCATGTCCCGGAGAGGGGAACAAAAATATCGCCCAACGTGGGGCTCGAACCCACGACCCTGAGATTAAGAGTCTCATGCTCTACCGACTGAGCTAGCCGGGCGTGGAGAGGATGAGCGCCGTCGCTTGTTTTATGCAAGCTCTGAGCGAACTAAAGACGAAAGCCTAGTTGTACGAGGAAACTGTAATCCGCGTTCGAACGCTAGTTTGGGCGGGCTCAAATGTTCAGGTATGGTCTCCGTGGCCGCTCAGAAATACGGTTGGAGGAGCATATGCTCGGGGCGGTCGACGACCTTCACGACATTCGGCGTCGTATTGGCGGCAACGAAGAACGCGCCAGACGGTTCGCTATGATGACGTCATGTCGAATCCAGCTGGCAGCGCGTCCAATCATCCGTTATCGGTACGTAGACCGCCGTTAAGCGTCAGACCGGTCAGCGATCTGCCCTATATACCGTGGGGATGTAGCTCAGATGGTAGAGCGCTCGCTTAGCATGCGAGAGTACGGGGATCGATACCCCGCATCTCCAGTGTTCATTTTTCCTCCGCTTGGGCTGGACATCCCCCCTGACGTGAGGTTCTGACTCGGGAATTCTCGCCCTCCTCGACCATAACCACGACCATCCAATGACTCGAATGAGCCGACTTAGAAGTCGAGGCCGTAGACGAATACTCGACGCGTAGCTGACGACAGGCTACCCCTCCGAGAGCACCAGCAGCCGAGGATTCGGAATGGTTTTCCGGGGATTCCCGAACATAAGCGATCCTGATATTCCCCCCGAAGTCAGATTATATCAGTTTTTGAGTCGTGACGCTCGTCAAAACCAGGAGACTTGCGGATCATTCAGTAGGGACTCTGAAACTCAATCTGCATGAATGGTTTGGATCCGTTGCCCGTGTGAAAGGCCGTGAAACATTGACGCGCTGAGAGCGCGCAGTAGTGTCCGATCCCGATAGAATTCGACCGTCTGACGATGAGAGATGACGAGGGACGACACGAAAACGGCGAAAAAAGCTGGCCCACACAGGGATCGAACCTATGACCTTCGCGTTATTAGCACGACGCTCTAACCGACTGAGCTAGTGGGCCGATGAGCAGCGCGGGCCCTATCGTTGGGCACAAGCCTGCCGATACGAGCCCTTGCAACCGCAATCGCACAACCCGATGATCATAGTCTCAATGATAACCTGAATCTGCCAGGGCTCGACCTTGATCATGGCACTGCTGCCGGAGTCTCAAGGCGATCCTCAGCTCCCATGTTCTCTATGGGAAATCGTAACGAAATTCTGCGGGACACCACGGCTTCGGCCACGGGCCGCGACAGGACAGGAATCGAGCCTGGAGCATGATTATCGGCTCTGGTAAGGTCTCGACCGATTTGAATCCCCGAGGCTACCCCTGAATCCATGTTCAGGGAACGCACCGTAGCCGGTTCCATGGATGGGTTTGTCCCGACCAGGGTCAACACGTCGGAGCGCAAGCAGATCGATGCTTCAAACATCCGATATAACGAAGTTCCTTGAGAACTCTCATGATTCATGATAATTCCTTGATTGACATGTCGCCAAAGCACGATGATGCAGATGAGGATGAATCGTCGTCAGGCAGTCGATCCTCTAGGAATCGCGGACCGGAGATACGACTCAGGGCTGAGGATGAGGCCTCCGCTACGAGGACGAAACGGACGTCTCTGCGGAGGAGGAGAGCTTCGCGCAGCCGACTCCGGGTATGTTGGCATTGCTCCGGAATGGAAGTTCTCTTCGACTTCGATTCTGGGCATCGGTATCCAATTTGATAAGTTGTCTCGGGTAATCGAGGGAGTCGCTCTTATCATCGATATTCTGTCCAGGCGGAGGGAATGAAGAAACCTGGACCGTGTCTCACAGCTATAGGCAAGTCCCACGTCTATTAGAACTGGGCTGCGGATGAATAGAATTGGGGTTATAGATTATCTCGTCCACAGGATGCATGAGCCTGATGTTCGGACTGATGAGTACAACCATAGCACTTTTCGCTCTGATCAAATTCGACTTAATTTTCGTGGGGGTTTTGAACAAACACCTGGCTTTGTCCCCCGAGTCGCCGAACTTTCACTATTGGACCGACATGGAGGACCATTACGATGTGCGGCTAGCTTGGTATTTCTTCAATCTGACTAATCCGAGGGAGTTCAAGAGCGGCGAGCCTCCCGTGCTTAAGGAAGTCGGGCCTTTCTGGTATTAGTAAGTACCTCAGCGAGACGACCGCGCTATTTCCCAGATTCCGTCGGTTCGTCATCCATTGTCTCGACTCCTCACGAACTCCCACTTTTCGCAGTGTGTCCGTCGTGAGAGACGATATGCAATTCCACGCGAATCACACCGTTACCTTTCGTGAGACTCACCTCTTTGAGTTCGATGAAGAGAACGTTTTGAGCGAGGAAACCCCCATAACGACAGTGAACGTCCCACTCCTCGTGAGTGAGATTTTCCCTCGGGATTTTTTGGGCTCAACTCCGATTGCATGCACACCTCTTCGAATTACAGATCTATCTCTACAGAGTGAGGGCGGAGAAAAAAGACGGTAACAAGGCTGTGAAAGCGATATTGGAGGAATTCCCCGAGACCGAATCCGTTGTTCTCGTTCGGAAAGTGAGGGATCTCACTTATGGAGGTACAGACAGTCTACTCATGAAGGCGATAAGTGAAGAGATTCAGGGCGATTCGCTCCGGAAGATCTTGGACGAACGAAGTACGGGAAAGTTCAGCTTCGCGATTCAGGTAAGAAAGACATCCGCCATGATCGCAAACGTCTTGAAAGGCGCGGCTCCAGTAGAAAACTGCTCGATGGGGGGTAGGATCTCGGTGCTTCCGACAGAAACTCAAAGCTAAGAGATGATATTTTCCCAGAGGAATATGACCGAGTCGATTGTGATCAACATGTATACTGGAATAGGCGATTTCCGTCAGAGGAACCGCGTACATTCCATTGACGGCCAACAGTGAGTACCCAGACCCAAGCAGCGGCTTAGAAATCTTCCACCCTCCATGTTACTGAACGGGCCTTCGACTGGCCTTTCATGAGAGCTCAGGATCTGAAACGTCTCGTAGCAGACGGGGATCCTGTGGTCTGTGTTATACGACTCCTCATACCATTCTCCTTCAGTGTGCTGAAAGTCTGGCCCATAAAGCACGAGGAATGCAATTCAGTCGACGGGTCTTGTGAGTGGCACAAAATTTCCCCAATCAACGATGGAGAGAATTAAAAGTCATTATATGGGAATGGTCTGTTGACGGAGGCCGTGCGAACAGTAGGATTCTTCAAGCCGACCGGGAGCAAGACTTCCGAGTTCGTGGTCTACATGCCGGAATTCTGTCGGAAATTCAAATTCCGCGAATCGAAGAAAACCTCATGGAGGAGTCACGAGGTAGAGAGGTTCTATCTCGCTCGGGACAACTTCTTCGACCATCGCATCGACCCAAAGAAAGCCTGCTACAACGGAGGCTTCGATGGACCGAAATCAGGTGCTATACTCTTCCCTCTTCGGGAGATTAATTCAAGAATTCGGAGTCGGGAGCAGCAGCAAGCTTGCAGACAGTAGCAAGCCTCGGAGCGTTTGATCTCGTTCCGTCTTTTCTCCGCTTCCAATCATGAATCACTCAAAGAGTCTTCACGGTAGGTTCCACCGGGGTATGGCCTTGCAGGAAAGGCTCCACCGTAATGATATCTCTGCCTCATTTCCTCTACCGGGACCAGCTGGAAGAAGTCCAGGTCAAGGGACTCACTCCGAGGCAGGATCAACATGAATATACTATGGATATTGACCCGGTCAGTGATGCGCGTTATCGATAGACCGAGTTTTCTGAATCATTGAAGTCACCGAGTTGAGGCTCCGCTCCAGAACCCGAAATACTACTTGCAGTTTTCCGACTTTGATGTCCTCGCGAGTAATACTTCCACCGAATTGCAGTTGACCGGCCTTGTGGTATCGCTCTCGGGGAGACTACAATCGAATGTGCCCGTCGTCAGATCCAATTTCGTGTACGTTCACTCAAGACCCATCGACGCTCACAGTCATCGTACCATCCATATCCCGGCGGAAAGTCGTTCGCGGATTTCATTAAGACTGGAGCCTCTCATGCATACCTATACTGGACTCGATGTCCGACGTCGGCGTCGTTCGAGACTTCGTCGCACGGATACGATGAAGATTTCCGACTCCATTGCAGGGAAGCAGCGGCCCATTTGAATCCCGTCATGTATCCGATATTTTGGCAAGAATACGTGAGTAGACCTAGTCAGACAGAGGACCGCGTTTTCGCAATGGAATGTCCCTCCTCGTGTAACAATGAATTTGCTGTTTCAGCGGATTGAGGCGGATTACGAAATCAGGGATATGTTGAGACAGATGTCCGGCGCCCCCTATTATCTTCAGCTCTTTTTTATGGCCATAGCAACTATCGGCTCCATTCTGACAATTTTCGGACTCTTCCTCTGGTGCCAGTGAGTACATCCGCTGCGGTCGGATTTCAGGTCCTCCTCCCTCATTCGGGAGTACGCATCGATGTAATGAGTGTCGCATTCCAGTCCGGACGATGTCGATCGATCAAGGAGTCGATATCGCAGCTCGAGCTTCTGATCGTTTGCCCGAATATCGATTCTGTAAACCTACTTATTTGTACAGCATACAAGAAGCCCTTCGAACTGTTTCATATCGCGTCATCATTCATGCTGAGCTCCGGTTTTTCGATTCGCTCTTCCTGGAGACGATTGATTTCGGGGTTGAGGGCTTATTCTTCGCACTTTTTGCGGAGACAGATGTCGTAGGTATCGCTCGTCGAGTCTAGAATCGCAGTCGATTCTCGATTCGAAGCTTTCGTCTCGATTGGTTGAATGAAAAAATCAGAAACGGGTATGATTCCTCTTCACAATTCACCACATCCCGCGCGGCTCTCCGAGCCGAGCCCTCGCTATTGGTTGAGCGAGGGGAAGGAGTGTCCTAACCGGTTACCCTAGTGTCCTAAATTCCGCTCTCCGCACGGCGCGCTACCAGGGAGGAATTTCGCTTCACGAGTCGGTTCTCGAGTGCAGTTCATCATGCTGCCGGAGGAGTCTATTCGACTCTCTTCGCTGACCTGTCGGTGGGGTTGCCCTCCCGAATCAAAGACTCCCGTGTGACCTGAGACTGAACACTCGAGCTGGGGAATTCTCGCTCTCGAAGTTTCGTCAGGAACGATGACACCAGTCTTATCAGGATCGACACAGCGAATGCTAGCAGCTCAACCCATACCATGCACGCACTCCACAACTTGAACCATTCCCTGCGAAGGGAAGTTCGAGACTTGAATCCGTGATTCTACACCCAGCAAGGCTATCGGATCACAATTTCACTTTCCTCATGGGAATTGGGTAATCTGGATTGATCTTAGGAGTTCTGAAACACTGAACAATCCCGAATATTGAGAACCTCATGCTGGTCTCCTCGGGCCGAGTACCGACTTTCGGACAATGCTTTTCATATTCCTTCTCGAATGCAGCGAATACGATAGAATGTTGCATCGAAGTTGAGCTCTCGAGGGAGAATATCAGACTGGCGGTGACGGCGACGACGAGACCGGCCAACGCTCCGCATACGCTGGCCTGGAATTCATTGAGTTGCATGTTTGCCGTTTATTTCAACCTCCGCACCACATCCTATGTCCACTCATCGAATTGATTTCGAGAAAAGCCGCGGGAAGCCCGCATTTAGGTGGATACGTGGCTCAACACTGCCAGAGAATAAGCTTCGCGGACCTTCAAAAAACATCGAGAATTGAATAGACCAATGGTGAGGAAGGATATGATAGGACCACCGACGCACGCAGTCAGGCTGAGGAGGATAGGTGGAAGAATTTTCACCAAGTACGTGAACGAAGCTAAGGCCGATGAGATGAGTAAGGGTAGCAGGCCTAGAAAGAACTTGGTCGGGAATATACAATTTCATCAGAAGAAAACGAAGCGACAGCCCTTATGATCTTCCAGACTCCCGAACTGATCCTTAGCAGCACCTATGTATTTGGCAACGCTCAAATGAAAGCCTCCATTAGCCCCCGGCTCTAGTTTCGGGTCCGCGAAGTCCTGGTACAGCACTGAACCGTCTCCATTGCACAATGATGCTGCGCATCTGCAGGGAAAAGTACGCCAGTTAGCTCCTGGGATGAGCGGGGTACTCCTTGTCTCCCGCGCTACTTCTGCCGAAGCGCACGCAGGCCATGGCATCCCGAGTTCCGTGAAACGACTACGACCGGATAATGCCGGAGATTCTGGAGAGTTCCAAAGCTTCGGAGATCACTGAAGTACTTGCCCGACATCGATGCTGAACAGCATACCGGTGAGGAGTCCAGGCACTCCCGGAATATGTCCAATTGCTCGTTTCACGAAGAAATACATGTATCACCTAAAAAAAACTCCAATCATCAGTCAATGAACATTCATGATGCTACCCATCGTTACGAATGATTTGCAGTGAGGGGGAAATTACCTGATCAGACGACGCATCCGCCCGATGGATCTCGAACAAGTGCTGTCTCGCGTGCGCGCCCTTCAGAGAGGAGCCCACGAAGCTGCCGATCATCATGAAGCAGGATATTATTATGGAAGAAAGGTCCATGTCGAGTCGCTTCGGTCCGGTTCCTCGCAGCAGCAGAGCGCTGCGCGAAATTTTGATGAGAAACAAAGTGCAGCATCCAATGTGCGCTCCACGCCACCAAGGAAGCTGAGGAGGTTCAGCCGCTGGAAATTTTCGACTATTCATCGTTTGAATGAAAGATGATTGGACTATTTCCAAAGCATAGAATCCCGGTCTATCGTATTCAGGCGGAGGGTCATGTGTTGTTGAAGAAAGTAATTTCAATTTCGACACGATACTATTCACTTGATTATTGGTGTTTTCGCTCAAGGCATCTGCGGCATTATTGGCTTCGAAGAGAACGGTGAGAAGAGCGATGAGAACGAATACTACTTGGAAATAATTCGTCCACTCCAGTCCTCTGACTCCGCCCTGCGAGAATGCAGACCTCAAGAGCGACGAGAAAACTTCACATCCGAGGATGGATGTAACAGGTCCCCGCTGGAGTCCATGAAAAGCTGTGGAAAGTCTCACCTGGAAGCTGGCACAAATCCCATTAACCCAGCCTGTCCCCGGAGAATTTTGATGAGGGGAGAACTCTATATTTTCCTGATCCGGATGTCCCACGGAGAGCTCCCGCAAGTTACTCTCATCTGCCTACGGGCTGCCAGAGCACGGGTTCTCATCCGCACGGAAGGTGTCAATTATTGGGGGTATTTCGGAAACCTTTCTAAATCGAGATCTCCGGCGGTAACGATCGTGAATAACTTCGCAACGCGCAGATTGGCTTTATTTAACCCCGATACATGACACCTCTAGTCTTGAAATTCTATTTCCGAAAGAATCCTGGGAACTTAAATCGAGTCTCAAATCGACATCTAATGAGGGGTCGCCATCCAAGCTCCGCAAATTATGTTACTCCAAATCATCCGGGTATGGAGCGATAAAGCGGATCTGCCCTCAGAAGCGCCAAGCTAGTAGGTACTGAGCCCACATCTTCCGCAGGTATCTCCATGGTAGTTTCGGATTTCTCAGGGACAAGGTTGAGGAAATCTAGTAATTTCGATCCGCTTCCGGCTGTCCGGACACTGGGGTCGAGATCGCCGATTAGAGAGCTCCAGCGACGTGGCTACCCAGCAGAATGTGGACGGGCCGGATATCGAACCCCTCACAAGGTTTCGGTGTCAAAGGAAGGAAGCGGCCGAGTTATCCGTTTCATGACTTGGGCTAAGAATTCACTTCACAGAGGAATCTGATGCGCATGCGACTGTCCTTGGCTGCTCATCCGGAGGGATTCCTTTGAGGGAAGGTCGCATGTGTTCAACTAACCGCGTTAATGCTGATCGAATTCTCGCAGACATCATAGACAATGGGGGTGAACAATATAATTGTGAAAATCCCTGCGATCAGGACCCCGGAAGCCGATTCCCGATGTACGATTTCGAGTCCAGGGAGGAACGCCCAAGTTACAGCGAGAATCCCGTGAGGTGCCGCCTGGATCGCGATCGAATCGCAGACTGGGATCATCTGCGAGGAAAATCTATGCTCGACGCTTCTGGAATCGGGCTTGAGGCGAGACGCGTGGGAAAGGCACGGCTCGCAAGAAGTCCCGTCGTGGATGACGAAAGTGATTCACTCACCGAAGTATTCCGATCTCCAGCAAGAGAAGTTCTCGGCGGAGAATGAACTTTGGAGAAACCCTCGATTATACCGAGCTCCACTACAAGCAAGCTCACGCAAAATAATGTTGCCGTCTACAGCCTATCGAAGCTACCTCGATGAACGGTCTCATTTTTCATTCTGCAAGATGCGAGACCGACCTATTGCACGCGAACTCTCCAAGAATGAAAGTTGACCTGATTCGGCGACGAACAATCCTCGAATTTACGCGTCTGGCAGCTTTTCTGATTCACGAATCACGGAGGCACGGATGAATCTTTGAATAATGCTCCACACAGCTCATGCGCTCAAGAACGAGCAGTGCATCGATGTGCAGGGCTGATGACCGCCTTCCCGCAGACAATATCCATCATTTTTTCGGAAGCTCGTGGTTGGCCGGCGGCCTGCAAGGGTCCTTAGAGCTAGGAAGTTATCATTTAATTTTCGACTCGGCTGAAGATGGGAGTGGGGCGGTGGATGGCCTCGAGGATCTCATGGTGAGGATTGGAGGGCGCGATTTTCCGAGGGCCTGACATAACTCGCTCAGATTCGCTCATGCTTAGGAAGTAGCTCGCGGTTCCAGCTTCTATCCTGTTAAGTCTTCAGCCTCGTTGCCCAAATGTGGTTAGTTGAACCCACAGTGGTGGCTCGCACATGGAGCTGCATCTCGTTCTCATTTCCGGAGACCCGAGGAGAGTGTTGAGTCGAAAGCTTCGATCTGCATGTACTCTGCGTGTACAGTCCTCGCAGATGCGCTTCGCGGATCATGGCAAGTACATATGTTCAATGTCGCAAATGGTTCATAATAAGCTTGCGCTTCTGTTGACAAACGAAACACGCGCGCAGGGACAAGATCGCCGTGGAAGTCTCCCTCGAGAATCTCAGACTCGCTCCGATTCCGAGGAGCCCAGGACAACTCAGCAAACGAGTGCAAGTTGCGGAGTACCCGAATGAATGTGTGTGTGTTTCCTGAGGGTAAGTTCGAATAGCTCATTTGGGGAGAGTTTCATCATCGGGATCCGCTCCTGGCAGGGAGCGTGGGCTTCATTCTCTCCATCTCAATCGAGTTGAGTTCAGGAGTTCAGACAGGATGATTTCTGGCTTCCAGCAGGCCGTCCCTGGGAGAGAAGCGAGACGTTCCAAGCAGGAGGAGGGATATATCCGTCAGCCATACTCCGTCAAGAGTTCAAGGCTGTCCTGGGGGAATTATACGTCGCTGGAGAGCCACAGGAAGCCACCATGGATGGACTTCCTCTCGAGGTCAGCGTGATGGATTTCCGAGATTGTCGGAAGACTCCGAAGGACCGGACATGCATTCGACTTCTATCCAAGTTGCATATGTGATTCTTGAATTCGAACGAGAGATGCCCTCTTCCGCGGTTCTCCCACGCTCTCTGCGTCAGGGTGCCCTATTACTCAGACCTACGTTTCAATATCTCCGCAGCTTCTCGAGCTTATATTTCTGAAGCTGCCTACCGCGGATCGTCTTTCTTGTGCTCGGGCATGTCGTCAGTGGGCGCAGGTTTTGTGCTCGTCAGCGTTGCTCATGGACGTCCGATTCGTCGTTCGGGGTCCGTGTTCGAAAGCAAGGACCACTATTCTCATGGGAAGTAACCGCGAATACTCAAACTTCAGAATTGTCAGAGGTATGATCATCAAACCGATGAGTACACTGGAGGAGCTTTCTTATGCTCGAGAGGGCTTCCTTCGATTCCACACGCGTATTTCTTTCTCTCTGCAGCGAACCTCAACACGTTCAATCGATCGCTTTGGACGAAAATCGGAGGAAATATACGAGATCTGCATTTGATCAGATGCGAATGGTCGATTCGGAGTCTGGCTTCCATTCTTCGGCAGTGCCCGAAACTGGAATCCTTGACACTCACAGGTGAGAATTGTCATTAGTGCACCACCAAACTCCCTCCAATAGACCAATATTCCGGGAGGCGAAGACCCCAGAATTCAGTCTCTTGACCCAAGTCCTCGAACATTCCAAAGAATTCCTCGTTCCAGCCGGAGCTCCATTGTGCACTCTCCCCGTCTTGCACAAGCCCCCAAAAAGGATCCGTCTCGACAAGGTCCGCACGTCGGTGTTGAGCGTGAGGACTTTGATCATTGAAGACTCCGAAGAGCTCTTCCTCTCAGAAGACACCCTCGACCATCTGCTCGAATTGATGCCGAACCTTACTTCTTTATCGATGCGATCGAGCTTCGAGGGAGACGCTGACTTCAAGAACGCATTCCCAAGTTTAATGAAGTCGAGGCACAGGTTCACTGAACTAGACATCGATTTCGACGACATCGACAGCGAGCACGTGATCCGTCTCATGGAGAAGTATTCGGAAAGTCTCCGAAAACTGTCCTTGAGGAGCTGCTGTTACCTCACCGTTGAGGCATATGCGGCAATCAGCCGTTGCTCGAATTTGCGTTCCTTGCTGCTGAACGAGGCGAAATGGCTCGACGACCGGCAGGCGAGGATCCTTCTCGATAGCAGCCCTGAGCTGGAATCTTTGAGCATCAGGGTCGGCGCGCTCAGGAATGAAACGACTTCCGCGATCTTGGGGTTGAAGAAACTTCGCCGTCTCATTCTGAAGTTCACTTTCATTGTCGACCCTGGCTTCCTCAGTTGCTTGAAAAGTCTCTCCTCGCTCGAACATCTCGAACTGGATTTCATCGAGGACGGTCCGGAACTTTTCCGGACTATGGCCTGTCTTAAGAACCTTCGTACTTTAATTCTAGCAGACTGCGAAATCACTTCCGATTGTGTGGAGGTTATCGTGGAGAATTTCAAAAAAATTGAGACGCTCGAGCTCAACTGCATTACACTGAATGAATTGGACGGGACGAAATTCCGTCTTCTTAAAAACCTCAGAAGCCTAAGTCTCGATCAGGCTCTATGGCTGACGGACTCCGCCTTCGAAAGTGGAATTGGACCCTCGGATTTGGAAAGTCTTGCCCTGAGCAGTTGTCCTCTGACTGATGTCGGACTCCTGAGCATAGCGACCAATCACGGTCGTTTGGAGAAGCTCGAACTTTCGGCCTGCAGAAACATCTCAGACGCTGGCGTCGCTTCCCTCCTCAGCCGTGAGCCCTTCCTCCGGAGCCTGTCGTTGGCATCGTGTTGGGGCCTGTCGGACAAGATACTCAGATTCATCAGGGACCGATGTTTTCGTCTCGATCTCTTAGAGCTTCAATTGTATCAGATGACGCGCTCTGCCGTGGCTCTTTTTGTGAAGCGCAGACCTTCGGTCGAAATTCAGGAATATTGGTGAAGGACGAGCCGACCGCGTCTCTCGTTTAGTCGGCCTAGTTGTCGTGCCGATAAAGGTACTTGCCATGTGACAGCCGAATACTTTCGCACACGTGAGCGGAAATGCTCTCAAGTGCAGAAGTCGTTGTACTTGGAGTAGGTGGTTGAGTAGAGGATCCTATTCGATAAAGGTAGTTTGATCCTTCCCGAATCCCGCGTGTCCCAAGGACCTTCCCGAATGACGCAGCTTACTCGCCGGTCGAATAGAAACGCGGAAAGTATCGAGAGCAAGTTTTGAAAAGGAGGAGGATCGACGTCGTAAACGGAAGAATTCGGTCAAGTTCTGACTTGAGGTCAGTAGGTAGAGATGCAGGGGACATAGAGTGGAAGAAATCGTCCTGAACTCTACTCTCATTTGTGTCAAGAGAGTCTCGGAAGGACAAAGACGATAGGTAGTTGGAGTCAAAATCCGCAGGGTTTTCCGATAGGGAAAATCAGCTCCCAGGAATTCCCCGTGGATTCACGCTGCGGAATGCATTTGACGAAAGGGAAATCGATTCTTAAAATAAATACAGAGAGCATACGCTGCCAGGGAATCTCTTCCCGTGCGGATCTCGAGGTTACACCATTTCCCGCAACGGCTGCATAGGAACGTCCTCCGAGGTGCAACCCTCCGGGGCGTTCGCTTAGTCGCAAATTCCCTTATTGGAGAAAGACGGTTCGACCGTGCTCATTCGGCCAACATCAGCGATATTCCGAATGCCCGAAGTTTGCCTTGGTGGACGTGCACGCAATGTTTCCGAGCATAGCACGCTGAGTTGAGGGATTCGATTATCATCTGGGCTGTTGCGATCGATTCGCAGAGCTCGTCAAAAAGTGGTCTTCCAAGCGCTGAGAAGTGTGGTGGCGAAGCCGTGAGTGATAGATCTTTCCTTCTTCCACCTCGACTGGGGAGGAAGACGCTGGGGCCTCCGTTCGGCATAATGATAAGGGAACCATCGACGCAACATCGCCCATTTCAGTCTTGTAGTCATAATGGTGGGCACTTCTTTAAAGACCAGCGTTGGAACTCAGTTCTCGTCCGGTCGGAGGCGCGATCTTGTCGTTAATCAAACACGAAGGAGCGTGTACGCGAATTTTGCAGGTACCCTGCTTGAATTGTTATCGGAGACGCTGAAGACAAAGGACCACCACGGAAGACGTCCGAAAGTGTCTGCATAGTATCGAGGAGCGAAGAACTTTGACTTCAACCGAAAATGGAAGAGCTTCCGTTCGAGGTTCGTGTGTGATCCGTTCTTCCCTCGCAGAGAGGATGGACGCCGAGAGCCCTGGTGACTCTCAATGCGATATCGATTCCTTATCGTAGACGCACTCTGAAAATCTAGAGCCACGACTCTAAGCGGAGTTTTGATCGCTAGTTACTTGAGATGATCTTGAGCCGCTTGGATTTGTATGATCGCCTCTCATGTGCCCAATTGTGTCGGAAACTCCAATTGGCAGCGACTGCACCGAGACTTATGCAGAATGTACGGGCGGTCATTCACGCCTCTAGACTGCGAGAGGCCGTAGCTAGAATGACGAGGGGCGAGCGCGTTTACAGGGCGATCGAATTCCGCGAGGGTAAGAAACGATTAGCTTTTCCTCAAGAGAGATTCACAAGCCGCCCCTAGAAGAGGTCGTGCGTCGAGATCAAGACCATAACTCTTTTCAAGTCAACATGGCCGATTTACCCTTTGGGTTCTGGAAGAAGGTCGGCCCAGGACTCCGACACCTGAAGCTGACCCGCTGCCGTTGGTCGAACCAGCTCCTCTACCTCATACTCCGACGGTGCACCAGCCTCGAGACTCTCCTACTGATAGGTGAGCTCTCGCGGGCCTCTGGCCTTCGACAGGCAAATCCGGCAGGCGACCTGGACGACTTCGGCATGCTTCTTGACTGACACAAAGTCTCTTTCCAGGATGTCCGTTCGCTACCGAAGCCGACAAAAGAGCTTCCGAAGACTTATGCTATGAGGAACCTCTTGAACCCTCGCCCAGTTTGCTCACTCTCCGTATAGCGGAGAGCTGCGAATTGTCTTGGGTGCCAAAAACAGTCTCAATGCTTCTGGCATTGCTGCCCAGCCTGACGTTTTTCTCTTTGACAAGTCGAAGTATGACCCTTGAGGAGTTCGAAGAAACAATGGATACGTTTTTAGCGGCAAAGCAAATTCTGACAACTTTTGAGCTCGATTCTCGGTCGCATCTCCACGACGAAATCGTGACGGCGCTCATCGAGAAGTATTCGGAAAAGCTCAGAAAACTGATCCTTAAACACTGTTCGGAGCTCACGGAGGGTGTCTTCTCCGCGTTGTGCAACTGCGTGGAATTGCAGAGTCTCTCTTTGAAGAACGCGAGGCTTTTCACCGAGCTCCATTTGCGGAGACTCCTTCTCAACTTGCCGCACCTCGAAGAGCTTACTTTAATCAACCCCGGAGATCTGGCGAGACCCGTCTTGAATCGTCTCTGTGAATGGACCAAGCTCAAGTGTCTGACCCTTTGTCACCGTTTGCCGGACAGAGCGTGGGACAGGCTGCGCGTCGGACAGTTCAGCGGGCTTCAGCATTTGGAGTTGACGCGGGTCGACGGTACGCTTCAATATTTCTCGAGCATTCGCTTCCTCGAGAATCTTCGGAGCTTGAGCCTGGTTGACCCTGCTCCGTTCAACACCAGCCAACTCACTTTAATCACTCGGAACCTCAAGAAGCTAGAGAGGCTCTGTCTGAAAGGCTGTGCCGAGCTCACTGAAGCAGATGGATCCGAGTTTTGTGAGCTTAGAAATCTCAGGAGCTTGTCGCTGACGGCGGTTTCGCACGTTTCGACGCGGACTTTCCGAAGATACAAGACGATCGACGCGCTGAAGGAAATCGCGGTGGACGACTCCTCAATCGACGATGCGACGCTCAAGGAAATCGCGATTCATAATCCCCGTTTGACAAGTTTGAAACTCCGACGCTGTCCAGGTATCACAACGAGAGGGCTAAGACGACTCCTCCTCAGGGAGCCCGCTCTCCGATCACTCCATCTCCGAGAATGCCGTTCGTTGACGTCCGCGATTCTCACACGAATCGCACGCGTCTGTCGCCAACTGGACTACTTAGATTTACGACATTGTGCCTGTATCGATCAGTACGACATTGAATGTTTTCACAGCCTGAGGCCTGAAGTTGGCTTACATTATTGATCGATGTCAGAGTTTCGGCATTTCTTGCGCGAGATGACTGCTCCAGGAGATCACCCGCCTTGGCGATCGATCACAGAGAATTATTGATTTCCTCAGCCCGGTCGTTCCGAAACGAGGTCGAGAGATGTTGGAAACAAGAAAGCATGTCATAGATCCTTTCCCCGCATCGACCTCCTGCGAATGATGAAGGCTTTGGGGTGACGCGAATCCCTAATGTATTTGTGTATTGAGTATTGACTTATCGTAATGAATAAATGACGAGGATTTAGTGTCTCGTGGCGCGTTTCCCCATCTTCCGGCGAGAGGCTCAACTCTATTATCGTGGAGCTTCTCCAATACTCCTCTTGAGGATGTGCTTCTGCATTAATTCTCGCCACGGTTGACTTCCTAACGCTGACCGAGGGCATTTCCGATGCGAACAAAAACACTCAAAAGTCGATGGATGTACCGGATATATGTACTTCCGAAAGAAAATCCCGCGAAACACAAGAATCGTATCCTCTTCATGAGATAGCTCTCTCGGAGTCTACGAAATGCCGACCTATTCGTGAGGCCACTCAGCAGAGACCCCTGACTAAGCGGAGTCTCATCGTAGAAACAGGCCTTTGAAATATCCGCAATTCTCCTCGAGATTCGTGGATCCCAGATGTCCAGAACACATGTTATCTATTTTATAGGTGTCAATATAATGATACGATATTCACACTTTACACATGTGTACCTGGATATACGTATAGATGAACATGCTATATTTATGCCGATCAGCGACACCAGCCGGCAGAGGCCGCGAGCATCCCGAAAATCTCGCGTACCGGATCCTGATGAGTTGGGAGTTGGGAGGCCCCCTAAACGAATTCCGGCGATAGTGATGACTGATGACTGAGAACGCATACCACCTGTGACGTGGCCACCTCGTCGTGGATCGCTGCGCTCGTTTACCTGGGAGGAAGCGCATGCTGGTGCCGAGGATGTGTGCGGAGGGTCGGCTGATTATTATTCATAACCTCGCGATGGAGCATTATGATAGAGTATCACCCGAAACGATTGGGAACCTTGGGAGAATGTTTATGGCTCTCGACTGTGACTTAGCTCTTATGACCCCTCATTATCCGCCTAATATTTCTAATGGGTTTCTATAGATGTATAATGTGACGGCGGAATGCTTCTGATGCATTACGAGCTCGCGGCTTCTCGCATGTCTCCGAAGTCGATTTAATCAGACAAGGGTGCTGAATCCTCCCCGATTCTACCAATGATCCAGCTTCTGCTCCTAGAATTCGCAATATCGACACACAGCGGAAAGTTCGCAGCCTCGCCAGAGACATCCGCATGGAATGGATTCAAAACCTATTAGGCGTCTCCATCGGAATTTCGAAGCTCACATACCTGGCAACTCTTTTTCCACTCATCTCATTCGATCTGCTTTATGTGCTCTGAAGGATTCATCCTCCTGGTACTCTGGCTACAATAATTTTCCTCTCGTCTCCGGTCTCGCGATCCTTCCGTGTACGTTGCCTTCCCCGTCCAGAAAATGGAGAGAGAAGCCCAAAACCATAGGCTTACGCAGCAGTTCTACTGGGGCGACCAGATCTGGTCCTCGCATTCAGGGGCCTCACGCGGTCCATGGATCTTTGCACGATTATCAGAGGAAAAGGCCATACCGAGACTAACGAGAGACTCGAGCCATTCGGAGTTTCCGAGCTGAATATACATGTGTGCTCGTCTTCGCGGCTCGTTCCCGCGCATCCTCTATACTTGGTAGAACAAGGGAGCTCTAGAAATCCGCGCGACCATCGAGGCCCCGGAGCAGACTCCATCAAGACAAGAATGCTTATCTAAGACTATCGCCGAATCAGGTATCTCGGACGATCACCCGCTGTTTCGAATCCGTGTCCGATATCGCTTTGTTGACGTCGCATCCACGCACGTGCCAGACGCCTCCGTATGAAGTTTTCCGGGGGAGAACAGCTCAGGGAAACCACCTTGTTCGACGGCTGTTTGACTACGCGAGAGGGAGAAGCATCCTGACGGGAAGCTCGAAGCTCAGTGAGGATTTGAGCAGAGAACGTCAGCTTAGGACTTAGACGACCTGGATTTTGTGCTCGGGAGGCTTTTGGCGACACACCAAGTGAGTTCTATTGCTTCTCCCTCACGCAGGTCTCGGAGTATACTGAAATTCTATCCTAGTTCCAACCAGTTTGGTGCATCTCCTCCTAGGCACAATGCGTTCGAGGATGTTTTTTAGATCGCAGCGCTGATCGAGGCCTATTAAGATTCGCCATTCCGCCGTCCCAATCAGTTCATGAGCTTCGTAGAGTCTCTGCGGGGATCCCAGAAGGATGGGGCGCAAGGGAGCGCTCGATCGGTATACTCGGAGGCCGGCGGCCGGCTCTTTTCCGTGAGCTCCATTCTCCCTGATTGTCTCCGTCAATCTAGATGGAGCTGCAATTTATCCCGAGGAATACCGCACTGGATCGGCTTCGCTGAAGTCATCCAGCGTCACGCTCCCCCATGATGGACTCGAGAAAATCAGCCTCGACCGGGAAACTCCACAAGAATTCGCCACCGGCCGATGAGCTCGCTCCGGTCCCTCGAGCTCCTGTTCTCGGCAGAATGATCGTTCCTGCACTCGAGAGCGTGACGAAATGCAGCGTGACGTCAAACCTCGAGCAAGTTCTCGTCCCTTTAGCCAGTTTCCAAGCCGGGGGCCAGTGACCAGACCAGGCAGCAATGCAATCTCTTCTGTTCTGAATTGAGGAACGTCTCTGCTCTCAGCTCCTGGGCCCTGGGCTACCGCCCACGTATGTCTTGATTGAAAATGGGATGGGTCTTCACCCAGGGGGTTCTCTTCGCTATCGGATGCTCGCGAGCTTCCATGAATCAGAAGCTCAAGTCAGGCTCCCACTTCAGGAGGGGATCATCATCAATGGGCCTCCTACCTGATGCCATGACGCGAGCAGTTCTCCTCCGTGCATCAAGGTTCTCCGTCCTCAACGCTCTGCAACGGAATTCCTCCAGCACAGGTCTCGGGATGACCTTTGACGGTTGGGTTCCCAGACGCGTTTTAGGACGTGTGGGCTCAAAAGCAACTTTTCATGCGGAGGGACACGGAGCGGGCTGCGAACAAAAGTCTGAGATTTCAGAGCGGAGTTCAGCGGGGCGGAGCAGCTGAACGATTACAGCCTTTCTCGGGGACACCGGCAGGTCAATACGGATATTTTCGAGCTCTCATGACATCATGCCCAGCATGACACATGAGCAGGGAAGCCTCATAGTCGGACCGGACTTCGGAGTCGGAGTCCTCGTCGCATACTGTAAACATTGCAATCACCGTACGGGTACCCTGTCCCTTTACTAGTCGGTACAACCTCGAATGAGGGGGGAGGTTTTCGAATAGCGCGCCCTCAGGCACCGTCCTCTCTCTCAGGCCCGAAACAACCGACCCCAAACATTCAGCTCGACAACACGCTCTCTAGCCTTTCGCTGCCAAGGATCTTCCCCGAAAACCAGGCTATTAGCCCGCCGCCTGGTGAAATCCGTCTGAAACTTCCGAATATTAGGCGAGGAGATCGCGCCAAAGTGCTACTCGATGATTCACTGAATCTTCTGAAAAGTGCCATTACTTCATTGACTCAATACCAAGAAATCGCGGTTGTTGTTGAAATGTTGCGGTAAGCGTGAACGAGGCATGAACTTCTTGCGGGGGAAATTTTCAGCGTATAGAGAAGTCATGCAAGAACGTGTTGGGAAACCTGACCTCACAGATTTCGGCCTAGCGGTCTGTTAACATGCAGAGATTTTCGATTTCAATCGCGTTCCGCCAGGTTTCGACAAGAAGTCTGCCTGGATCTAAGATCGGAACGAAGGGGATGCCCTGGGACGCCAGTTAGGTCACAAGTGCTTGGTGACGAATCGGAGTAACTCGCGAGCGTTACGGAGTGTAGTCTGGGGAATGACTACGGACTGAGACTGGAGCTTCGTCTCGAATGGAGATACTGGTTATATTGGTGGGACAGTAGCTCGTCCATCAGGCGCATGAGGAGCTCGCTCGATCCCTCAGAAGCGTATTGTATTTCTGAGAGTGGAGAGTTCCGGACGAAGCATTACGCCCTTCCGTACAGTCAGCTCGCGGAACTTCGTTGTGATGGGACGATCGTTTTAGATTGCTCCAATAACCGACAGATCTTTGCGAAGTTTTTCCGAAGGCCGGCAGCCTCCCGAAAAGCTACCTGCGCCGTTCCCCCCGAAATTTCATTCGTGACCACGGGTGTCACAACTCACAACCCCTCAATTCGAGGATGACTCAAATTATAGGTTCTGGTTCATCTTTCGAAAAACGTTCAACCTGGCTACCTCGCAAGACGCAACGATCAGAACGAACAATCTGGTCGCTCCTTCGGGGACTGAGAGACTTATGGAACACGAGCGCTCTAAGGTCGAACTGGTAGAACTTTTTTGACTCCAGCTCAGCATCCTTGATTTTCGGCGATCCCTAGAATTACGCCGGATGCTCTAAATGATACTCTCAAACGAAACTGACAAATCGTCGCGTCGGTGAATCGGGCACTTCCTCTTGGAAGCCTCCCCTCGAATTGGTGAGATGTGACTCGACAAGCACCTTCCTCATGAAATACTCTGGATTCCCGAAACATGCTGATTCCGAGCACCAATCATTCCAATTTCGAGATACGCCTCTCAAGGTCGGTGATTCTCTCCCATGGAGAAGCATTGCAGGCTAGAGATCACGCGAGAGAATGCTGCGTCTCCTATCGGGAGCTCGCTCTAAGACTCCTCTCTTACTGAGGAGTCACTACGAGAAAAGGATCACAACATTGGAAAATTTGTACCTCGGGAGTTCCCCAGTATATCATACAAAAAAGCCACACACACCCAATCTCCCAATCGGACCGAGACGTTCCATAATCATCCACGACTCGGAGATATCAGCTCGAAGACGCTCAACCTGCCGTCCGGTTGTGTCACCACAGAGACCTGGGAGCTCCGCACGTGACGCAGCGAAGACCGTTGCTGATATATGTACATCCGTTTGTGTTTCGATTGGGAGCGCGGATCTGACGCTTAGCTGGGCAACTCTTGGAAATGGAAATCGTCGAGCATTATCCGAAGTTTGAGCTCGAACGGTAATAGATTATTCGAGTTTCCCATCCGATTCGCTCCTCGTTCTTTACGAAACATGCCCCTGGCGCCGGCGCCGGTTCACAAGCCTCCCGAGAGCCGAGACAGGGCCCTCGGGATTGAGTGCGTAATCGATACACAAACAAGCGCTTGTCTACAGTTTCGTTTGTTTTGCTCGATCGCGGAATCGTCTCGCCGGTTCAGATCTTCGGTGATCTTGTCTACGTCGAAATATCAGTATATCTTGTCCATCTCATTATCTAATCGTTCTTGCGCTCCTCTCTCACCTTATCAATGCTTGTGACCACTTTTTACAGGCGGCTGCATACTCCTCCAAAGTGATCCCCGTCTTCGTCCAAACCAGTCCTCCTCAACGGTAAGAGCCTCTCCGACTCTTTTCCCGAAATTCGAGTCCAGATCCGTGGGGGATACCGGAATCTTCAACCCAAGTAGCGTCGAGTCGAAGCTCGGATTCAACCGACCGAGGCCGTCGCAGAATTCTTCGTCGGAGATGGTTCTCGCGATAAGCCCTAATTTTGCTGATCTCTTGAACTCGATATCGTATAAAATCCGCTGGTCGTCAAAGGCTCGAGTGATGCTGCCGCTATCGTTCCCAATCCAGCCACGCTGAGGCCCCGAGAGTATAAGCGTATATAGAGAGTTTTCTTCGATTACTCCCGTTCCGAGACCATTCTCCTCGATTTCCAGATAGGAAATGTCCGCGTCCAAGCACGTTATCAACAGTGATGACGGCTACAGTGCCGCTCAGCTCATCGGCATGGGAGACGGCCTGACCTACAATGATTTCTTAATTCTACCTGGTTACATTCACATGTCGGCTGATGATGTTCAGCTATCGTCGAAGTTGACTAAGAAGATCAAGCTCAATGCTCCTCTCGTCTCCTCACCGATGGACACCGTCACCGAGGCCAACATGGCAATCGCAATGGCACTTCAAGGGGGCATTGGCATCATCCATCACAACTGTACACCGGAATTCCAAGCCGATGAAGTTGAGAAAGTGAAAAAATACAAGCATGGATTCATCCATGATCCCAAGTGTCTCGGACCTGAAAACTGCGTGACCGACGTCCTCGAAATCAAGGCCAAGTACGGATTCGCTGGTGTACCAATCACCGACACCGGCCGAGTTGGAGGGAAGCTTTTGGGCATGGTCACCTCAAGAGACATTGATTTCCTGCCCAACGGTGAGCTCAACGCGAAGTTGAGAGAAGTCATGACACCCTTGGACGATTTAATCACTGCGCCAAACACTATCACCTTGCAAAATGCGAATGAGATCCTTCGAAAAAGCAAGAAAGGAAAATTGCCTATCGTAAACCAGAGGGGCGAACTCGTTTCATTGATGGCCAGGACTGATTTGAAGAAGAACCGTGACTTCCCTCTGGCCTCCAAAGACGATAACAAGCAGCTGCTGGTAGGCGCTGCAATCTCCACTCGGGAAGAGGATAAGCATCGTCTGAAATTGTTGGTCGCGGCCGGAGTCGATGTCATTGTGTTGGACTCGTCTCAGGGCAATTCCATCTACCAAGTCGAAATGATCAAATTCATCAAGAGCAACTACCCCAAAGTCGAGGTCATCGCTGGGAACGTTGTGACGTCCGAACAAGCCAAAAACCTCATCTCGGCAGGCTGTGACGGACTCAGAGTCGGAATGGGATCGGGCTCGATTTGCATTACCCAGGAAGTGATGGCGTGCGGGAGGCCTCAGGCGACTGCTGTCTACAGGTGAATTCCGGAGTCAATCTTGAATCCTCGTACAAGATAGGGATATGGGCCATCACGAGCACTCCCCATCGCTCATGTTCGGGATGCAGTTCGATGTGGTTCCTCTAATGTTTGCAGAGTTTCTGAGTACGCTCGGCGCTTCGACGTACCGTGCATCGCTGATGGCGGGATCAGTTCCGTGGGACATATCATTAAAGCCATCTCAATGGGCGCCTCCTGCGTCATGATGGGTTCGATGCTGGCCGGAACCACCGAATCTCCGGGAGAATATTTCTACTCTGACGGTGTTCGACTCAAGAAATACCGTGGAATGGGATCTCTCGATGCCATGGATAGTGGAAAAGGCTCACTGTCGAGGTGCGTTATTCTCTTCAGAAATGGAATTCCCCGAGCCGCCCCGTATTGGCTGGAGAGTGAAGCGAGCTTTCGGGACAGCTGTCAGGCTCGACACGGCCATGATTATGATCATTTCATTCACCTCTTGAACGTTGCAGGTATCACCAAAGTCAAAAGGATAAGATTAAGGTTGCTCAAGGAGTAACAGGCACCATCGTTGATAAAGGCTCCATCCACACATATGTACCTTATCTCACCAGTGGTCTCAAGCTGGGCTGCCAGGATATCGGAGTCGGGTGAGTGATCTCCTATTTTTGCCAGAAGAATCGAATGTCGATAAGACATTCAAGCTGTCCATCAACGTTCACCCACAGATCGAAAGAATGTTGGGGCGAAGTTCAACAATATTCAGGAATCTTTCCTTTTTCCTTCAGTTCCGTGATGGCTCTCCGAGAGCAAATGTTCTCGGGAAACGTCAAATTCGAGAAGCGAACTGTCTCTGCTCAGCAAGAAGGTGGCGTCCATGGGCTCTTCTCCTATGAGAAGAAGCTGTTCTAGGATGCATCAATTATGAGATGGATTCGAGACGCCCGGTTCATATATAAGATTTACGATCAGCTGACGAGTCACAGGTTCCATGTACAAACCAGTCATTTTTTAATTTACATTCCCCCTTCCCGCACGAGCTATGACGATGATGTATGTGAGCGGTTCGGGCACTCGATGTCGACCTTGAACGAATAAAATACCTCATCTGATTTCATCTGACCTACATTCTAATCTCATGGTCCCATCTGTCAGGATCCGTTCATGTTCGGAATTTGGATGACAACTAGGAAATCAGAGCGCGTCGGGAATCGTGTATCTTTCTTTGGATCCCACCGTTCACCGTTCCCGAGAGAGAACAGGCCAGAATTGTCGTCTCTGCAGCGAGAAATCGAGTTTCATACACTTTCTATGAGTGGTACTCTCATGAGAAGGGCTATAGTTCTCATGAAAGTGCAATCGAGGAGCCGGGGAGTCATGATTCATACCATCATACCTCCCCCCTGAACATAAGCATTTTCACCATGGATAAATTGAATCTAGGATCACGTTGTGTAAGTGCATCATTCGGGGATGTCCTCCTGTGATCCCGTTCTACACATCTCCCCGGACAGGAACATTTTTCTCCATGACGGCTCTATATGAGCGAGTATGGGGAAGAGAGGAAAAAATATCCGACGCTCCTGTCGGCACAATTTCTTAGCGCTCCTTACATCGGGCGAGCGAAAGACGAGCTGAGCACACGTGGTAAAACCTCTTGGGCTTCATCGAGACGGCACCGCCTCAAGGGACGCATGAGATCCCAAAGCCAGATTTGTGGAGCCCGATCGGCCGGTGGACGAACTCTGACGGAAACCTCGACAGGAGGCTGTGGCGAATATCCCGCTGCTCGGGAGGCCTCCTTCTGATCTCGCAGAAAACCAGGATCGTCGGGAATAAAATTCCTCCTACGTTTTCCAGCAGCTTCGGGTTTGAGACTCGCAGCGTAATTTCAATTTGTTTCCTTTCGAGGAGGTATATGTACCCTTCCCTGCCCGTCCGTTCGTTCGGCCCGTCGCCATTCAAGGGTGCGACAGACTATGCGCCTGGGAGGTTGGCCTGGAGCTCTCGACTCTCTGCGCGAATCAGCCGCGGTGACTCCTGATGAGGTCATTGATTCCCCTTGACTGCGTTCACCTAAAAATCGTAGAATGGGTACCGAAAAGTCTCTAGGAGCTCCGGAGTCGCGCAGCAAAGAGCTTCCAGCAGGACTCAAGGGATCGCTGTCAGCCTTCTGGACGTCTCGCGGTGTTCTGTTCTCCTCGGAAGTTGGATCATGCGCCCACGAAGAGCTGGAGGAATTGAAGTCCGAATATTGGGGCCGCAGAACTTCCCGCACGGCTCAGGGAACGATGCAGAGATGAGATGCAGGGAACGATGAAGGATTGTATTACATTTTACGGCTAGAATCAAGATCATGAGGCAATACCTCACAGGTAGAAGCGCCTCATAGGTACCCTTCCTCCTCATCGTAAAACAGATCGAGAGCGCCTCGTCAGAGACGATAAGGAGCAGATGTTCCAAAACAAATCGAAGGCGGCGCGCAGATTCCTCCGTAAAATCATTTTTGTTGAGATGAGCCTTATTTTCAAAGTACGCAGTTCCAACAGCTTCTCGCTCGAGAAGGCGAGGTCGATCATAGCGATCTCCCACGGCGAAAATCTGATGGATTCCGGCTCCGCCGGCCATCAATGGATAATCTCGATTTTGTGCCGTCATGGCTCGACAGGACGCCAAAGAGTCGCTTGGGCATCAGTGATTGCGTCATGAAGGAGCTCGTGTCATGAAACACATGTGACGACGTGCTCTCTTTTTCTGAATTTTAGAGACCTGATGTCACTCTTTAGTTCAATCAAGTTGTAAAGCATTATAAAAAGTGCATTATATAGCACGACGAGACAGCTACCCTAAGCCATAATGGCGAACGATTCCTGACCGTCGCTCGTTCGAATCTATTGCGAATATGGGAAAGCCCAAGAAGCCCGAAACGATCGATGATCTCTACGGAGTCATTACGAGATGGCACCTTCCGGTGAGTTTTCGAGGATTTTCTGCTCCGAATCCTACGGAGAGCCGAAGGGGGCGAACGTGAATAGCTCGTCCTCGGTGTCACTCTTATTCGCATTATGCGCACTGTCATTGGAGATATCCGTCTTGTGTTTGTTCGGGAGATTCCGGAGCGGGAGTGTTCATTGCAAGCGGAAACTCGGACCAACCCCTCTTATACACAGGTGTTCTTATTTGCTGTAATCCGGGGAATCCCAACGACAATTAATGTGATGGCGATGGTGTTTGTAGCCCCTCATCAAAATTATACGTGCAAGACTCCTCCTGGATGGGTTGCCGTCGAAGGTCAGTGCTCAGTCACTCCTCTGAATGGGTCTGATCCGAAGGAGATCGTTCCCTGCATGGAGTGGAACTACGATCATTCAGTCTACGCAGGAACGACTATCGTCGAAGAGGTAAGAGGATTCCCGCCTCACTGTAGATATACATGGAACCAATTCGAAGGAATCGACCATTCAGAAAGCTTCAATGATGGTCAACGATCGGGTTCTGCGACAGGCTATAATCTTTTCGCAGTGGGACCTGGTTTGCGATAGGCGATGGCTCATCTCCACGTCCCAAAGTGTTTTCCTTTTTGGCGTCATGGTCGGTACCATCCTATTTTCACATATCGCCGATTGGTAAGCCGATCCATGAGTCACGAACCGAGTCATGGAAACTCGAGCTGTAGCTCCACAAATGAGTCAAGTGGAGCGCTCTGATCTGATACGACGAGACCAATTTTTTCCGCAGGTTCGGTCGGAAACGGTCGTGTCTTATATCTCTCATTTGGTCAAGTGTGACAGGAGTTCTGATGGCATTCGCTCCCTCGATCGTTTGGTACAATTTCTTTCGCTTCCTCACGGCGGTCGGAAGCAGCGGCTACTCGGATTCCGCTCACGTGCTCAGTAAGTCTCCGTCCTGTAGCGGCATAACCCCAAACTTGGAATACGATGAAGGGCGTTAGCCTGCAAGCAAAGTGCCGATGTGTTAGATGGGTCCCAGCCGTAGGGTAGGGGCGAGCCCTCGTCCCCTGGTGAGCTTTCCCAGTCAGAGGAGACAATCTGATGGTGCAAATCGTTCCGGAACCCCACAATCAGGCCCGAGGAATACAGAGGGGAAGAGCCCTCGCGCCCCCTCCCCAAGCAGCAGATCGAAAAAAGTCAACGCAGGACGATCACACAAGATTCGTGAGACAAGTTATCTGCAAACACCCGCTGTCGAACTGCTCCCGATAACACGGCAAGAAACTGAAATCCGGAAGATCGCCTCCTTGGTTCCGCATGGACGCCCCCGAGGGATTCGGAGAAAATACAAAAACAGAACTCTAGAGACAAAGCATGCATCCGTGTGCCCGAAGTTAGATAATTCAGAATATTTTCAACTTTTTGTCTCTTTTTCATCTCTTTACCTTTCCTCAGTCTTGGAATCAGTGGCTCCGAACATGCGCTACTTCTTGACGCTGACCGTGGGCATAGGTTGGTCTATCGGAATGCTCTGCGTGCCCCTCCAAGCGTACCTGCTACCAGACTGGAACCTGATGCACCTTGTCACCCCTGTGCCAATCTTCTTTTTGTTCATGCTTTGGTTGTGAGTATCCTCATTCGGGTTCCGAACCGGATCAGTATCATTGAGCCAAGTATACTATCATGCTTGAGGAAGACGAATCGATGATCTCTGCCCTGGAACGTATTTTTCGTCTTTCCTAAATTAAGCTGCCTCGACGAGTCTGCACGATGGCTAATGGGCGCTGGTCGCTATGCCGAAGCTCGAGAGGTACTTGTTCGCCTGGCGAAATTCCGAGGGGACGTCCCAGAGAGTCGGATCGATGAAATGATTGAAGTCATCAAAAAGAAGGATTCCGAGGTAACCGTGCGCCCGTGAGGATTTTAATTCTCACAACAGATATTCGCTTGATTACCGGCAACGTAGCATGACAAATGTCTCGATTTCAGTGTGAGCTCATGACAAAACCAACCATGGCCGATCTCTTCTCCAAACGATACCGGAAATCTTCCATGATATTTTGTCTACTGATGTGAGTCATGGAGATGAGCGGCTCTGACCCAACATGCCTCATGTGCCCTTATGGTTCCGCTTACATGCCGGAATTTCTGAGCTCGGCCACCGAGTTTGACTAGAAAATCAATAACTATGATTAAAGTTCCTGAATCGTTCCCTTAAGGATGACAAGTTACACGCTCTGGTATCACGTGACCGTTTCAACCGCTGGAGTCGGGGCTAACCCCTACATAAGTTTTGCCGCCGCTGCGTTCTTCGAGCTACCGGGGAAAGCGGTCAATGTCCTTTTCATACGATTCGTCCGACGCAGGAAAGCAACAATATTTGCTCTTGTAGTCGCCGCTGCGGCCGTGACCGCCTACTCCCTTGCGCCGGACGGTGAGACGGCCTCTCCGCGCTGTACTTTTCGCGTATCCGACCTTCAGCCATGTTATAACTCGACCTGCTCTGTCATTATTAGTCTTTCCTTTGGAAGCGAACTCCGAAACGCAACTCTTCCGCAGATCTTGCGTGGCTGAAACTGGCTTGTCTGATCACCTGCAAGATGTGTACAGGCGCTCAAGGCGCTGTGCAAAGAGTTCAAATTAGCGAAATCTACCCGAGTATCGTGAGAGCCATGAGCACTGGTTTCTTCGTCACATTCGGGAGCTTCGCAGGTGCTTTCGCACCGTTCTTCGATGACCTCGTGAGTTTGCAATTCAAAGGCATTAACGAGAGCGTGGCCGCGGATTGCGCGATTTCCTCGACCTAGGGAGTCGATCCGATCGGGAGCATACTTAGATAGCTTATCAGCTAAGTACTCGAATTTACAGGCTTATCTAACGTACCCGTGGGTTCCAATGGCGTTTATCGCGGTTATGTGTATTGTGAGCTGCTTTGCGCAACTCGGATTGCGCGAAACCTTTGAGGTTGTTCTCACCGACGGCATGCATAAGGAGGTCCAGAAGAAGGCACCGTAAGAGCAAATTTCCTTGCCTTGAGCCAAACGTCTGTTTTGTTTTGGAGAATCGATCGCTAGTCTGTCTCGTATTCGCAGTCGGTCTCCTGCGCTGTTTGGAAAACTCAATTACCTTGTGTCCAACGTATATTTTCCAGAATAATTAAACAGGGCGAAATCAACCAGACGTTCAAGCAAGGAGTCTGAATAGGGGACGTCCCCTCGCGCGGACGCACTTGAAGGATACAAGGGCGCTTTTCTGGAATCGGATCCAGATAATATCCTCCTGAATTTGTCAGATCGGAGTGGCTGTGATCGGGAGTGCCAATCGTCATCCAGCAGTGAACGACAGCAGAGGCGCCTCCTTAAGTCTGCGCGAAGTTCTCCCACCACAGAAACTTCGTTCTAATTTGTATACAAATATGTACTTAGTCTTGCCAGTCGATCGTTCGAAGTCGGTCGGCCATGTGTGTGATAAATGATAAACGCAGGATATGCGTTAGGGAAGGTCTCCGAGCAGCTGGTAATAAAGACAGCCAGTGTCACGAATGCCGCGATCGGTTCCTAGAACTTGCCGTGTTCTTTGTACGTGGGAGACTTACTGAAATCCTCTCCTTGCTTTCCCTCGAGGCAGGCATCGGATATCCAGCGAAGGCTGCGAGCTCCAAAACCGCCGACCGACGCGCTCTACTCGTTATTCCGACAGACAACCTTACCTTCCGATCACCGTGCTGATGAAGGCGTCCGAGATGAAGGTACCATTGCGTCATGACTCATGACTCTCGGAGGCTCGACGGGGACATGTTCGACATAGCTGAGGGAAATGACGCGATATATTTCTTCAGAGATAGGCTAAACCGAACCGGAAAGTTGGAGAAATCCGATATGTCTCTTCGATCTTAACGAATGCAACCGTCCGACTCGAAAGAAGGACGGCCTGGAGGGGGAAGTAGGTGAGACGCCATGGTTCTCCCCTCTTCGAAGCCGAAGAGCGAAGAGGAGGCTGCCTCTGAAGCGCGCGAGTCGAGCTCGGAGCTCAATTCGCATAAAAATGGTCGAAACGCTTAGATCACCTGAAACGATCTACTTGATGTGATAACCAGATGGCACATTCCGGTGAGTTAGCAGGCCTATGATCACGGCGAAAAATTCGCTTAAGCGGAAACACCGGCATTCCACGCTCAGATGTGTTCACTGCGATGATCGCGCACAATCTCCCTATATCTGTGAGAGCCCGTACCCTCTCAGAGTGTTCGAGCACGCGTTTCAGAATTCGTGTGGCCTTGGGGTCTTTGGCGGAACGCCACGGTCTTATCGGGACTGATACGGCGAGTTTGACAGATGTCAGATTCGTGATGCTCTGAGATATGCGATAAAACTGAACTAGGGAAATATCGAGGAGATCTTCTGACCTAGCAGGGGTTCCAGAGCTTTCGCCATCGTACAGCGATCGGAGATAGTTCCAAATAGAAACGAAAAGTAGCGCAGAGCCGTTGTGCTTCCGGGTGTAGGATTCCTCTTCCTTGTATGATCTCGAATTCGCGCAGTCTGGTTCGTGGAAGTCCAAAGACTTCGCTCGAATCCGACCGGGGACTCATTATTGTGTCATGGAACTTTTTGATCGTCGGCGGCGCTCGAAACCCGATTCGATATAGAATGTCGGGGGCGAATATATGTACGGATAGCTGTATACAATGCTAGATGGAATTTTTTTCAAGCGCTCGATTTTCTTCAAGTGAAGTCATATTTCTTCGCCTCCAATTCGAAGGCGGATGATTACAAACGCGCGTTCACAAAGGCGCGGTACGAGGAAATAAAAATTCAAATCTACCTGCTGCAATTATTCGACCAAGGTTCCTCTCACTCTGTGGCCGACGAATATCCGCTCGGCCATGGGAGACGCGAAGCTTAACTTTTAACGAGGTCGGAATCCTCGTCATGATTATGACTGATTGCTACCGTGAGGATGTGATTTGTCTTGCTTAAACCCAAAAAGTCAGAGTTTGCCGAACTCGACGCCGCTTAAAATGAAAATTCGAAAATACTCCATCTCGCAAGGAAGTTCGAGAATCGCACTCGGACGGCTCATCAGTATCCGAACTTTTTCCCCATTCCTAGAAGCTGGAGGGCCCTAGCCAATACATGATGAACACAGAGCTCTGGCTCTCCCGTGTCCTGGAGTGTTGGGCTTGGTTCCCCGCTTAATGGGCAGGGGAGCGCCCGTTCGCCGGTGTAATGCCTGATGCCTAATGATGACATTCTATGCCGATGGAACGAGATTCTGTTCGATCTCGCTAATCACTCCTATTCTCCGGCAGATTTTCATTTTCGCTTTCATTCGAGGGATTCCAAGCTCAGCGAACATCATGTACCTGGTCTTCTTGACGCCGAAGCAAAAATTCACGTGTGTCACGCCATCGGGATGGACAGCTACCAATGACCAGTGTTTCATGAGACCGAGCGGAACGATCAACGGCACTTTGATTGGTGGGGTATTGCCTTGCTCGCAATGGACGTACGATCGTTCTATTTACGCTGGAATCACGATGGTCGAGCAGGTAACATGAAACCCCAGATAGGAACGCTGCTACGCCGTTGGACGTCGCTCCCCTCCCCCTCTGTCTCCATTAGAGGGGGGAAAGAGGAGCGGGTGTATTCTCAGATTCTGTGCTCAGATATTTAAAACCGGAGTCTTACATTCGTAGTCTGGAGCTATGAGAAGATTACCCTTCCACTGGAATCTAGTATGCTCCCAGAGGTGGATGGTGTCGACGACGCAGAGTGTCTATTGGATTGGGGTAGTGTGCGGGAACTTCATATTCGCGCACGTTGGAGACTGGTGAGCACTGGCCGAGAAGGTATTCGCCTCGAGAGCTTCGCTGAGCCATATAATGGGGTATGGGTATCGCTTGGAAAAGAGGAAACTCAATCTCACACTGCGGGATATCCGCAAGAGCACTTTTGGAATTCCCGTGAATTTTTTCCAGGTATGGGAGGAAACGATCGACTATGATCGCCTTGATCTGGTCTGCCGTGACCGGGACTTTGATGGCCTTCGCCGCCTCGATCGTCTACTATAGCTTCTTCCGGTTTCTCACCGCTGTTGGAACCACTGGATACTACGAAGCGTGCCTCCTCCTCGGTGAGTGAGAGATCCCGAGTCCTCGTCGACTTGGAAAATTTTCCGCATGGAAAATTGATTTTTTCTCTTCTGTGAGAGCTCTCACTGAATATCCGCAGTCATTGAGGCTCTCTCACCGGCGAAACGATACATAGTCACGCTCACGATTGGTCTCGGCCACTCGTGTGGTATGGTACTGGTCCCGGTGACGGCCCATCTACTCACGGACTGGAACTTGGTCCATTTGGCCCCGCCTGTCATTGTTGCGATTCTCCTCATGATTTGGACGTAAGTGTGATTTCAGTTCGATTTCGTAGCGATAACGGCATCGAATCCGAGTGCTCTGGGCGAGTGGTCGTGGAAACTCCGCCGTTCTTTTCTACTTTTCCCTTCTTTTCTCGCACCTGATCTTCGTTCTTAATCTGGATACGGATCTCGCTGAGAATGGTGTGCTATTCTATGCGGCGATTTGCAGCCCCCTAGACGAATCAGCGCGGTGGCTGCTCGGTGCTGGACGATTCGAAGAGGCTCACAGAGTCTTGCTGCGCGTTGCATCATTGCGACATTGACGAGCAACGCGTCGATGAAATTCTCCAAGTGATCCGGAAGGAGTCCGAAGGGGTGCGTATCCGTGTCAAAGAAAGCGCTAACCCACGATAGTAGGTATCCGATATGGTTCTCGCGGAGGTTTCTGCCTAGATAAGGCGAAACCTTCGATGAGGCGCGATGTTGAGGCTTGTGTCTACGGCGAATTTTCAGACCGGGCCCAAAACCAAGCCCACGTAGAGCGATCTATTTTCTGATGACATCCGGAAACAGAATTCTTCTGCTATGTCATGTGGGTCCGATGCGGTGATGCCCTCGATTTCAATGCAATTTTTTTTCTTGATTTGCCGGCTGATCCCGATCTGGAATCTCGTCCATAATGCGCTTTTTATGACTTCTCAGGGTTGTCAGTGGCCTGCTGTGGTACCACAGCAGCGTCTCTACAGCGGGGGTCAGCGACCATCCCTTTCGAGGTTTCGCTCTCGCTGCCCTATTTGAATCGCCTGCCAAATTGCTGAACGTCCTCTTCATCAAATAAGTGGACCGGAGAAAAGGAACGATAGCAGCCTGCATCCTAGCCTCGCTTGGCATTCTCGTCTACAGTCTGGTCCCGGAAGGTTTGTTCTGATGCTATAGCCTGCCATAGTCTGTCTCTCAGATCGAGCCCGTCGTAGGACTCGGTCACATTGCTGGCCTGGGAGTGGGGAGCTCCTAGACAATGAAGAAGATTCGATTCCCGCAGGAAGTTTTGCCCTTCGCTTGAGTAGCTTGATAGTCTGCGAAATTTCCGTCGGAGTTCAGGGCTCTATCCAAAGAGTCCAGATCTGCGAATCGTATCCGAGTATTCTGCGATCGCTTAGCAACGGAATCATAGTCACGGCATGCTATTTTGCACTGGTTTTCGCACCTTGCCTCGACGACATCGTGAGTATGAGATTGTTGATTGTTGACCGTCCCGACGTGAAATCAATGTCCCAAACCCGATCGGATGAACCTCTTTTTTTATCTTATCTCCTTCTCTGACAGGGTCGCCTCAAGTTCTCGTGGGTGCCGATGGCTTCGATCGGAGTTCTGTGCATGCTGTGCTATGTGGCTCAGCTCCATCTCCGGGAAACGTTCGTGGCTACTCTCACGGAGGGAATAAGAGCCTCGGAGTTCGAAATAAAAACACGGTGTGCATGAATGATCTCCGGCGATCTCTGCCCGATTCTCGAGGAGTGCGGACGATTAATCCAATTCTCAAGACCAGTCCCGGACCTGTCTCGATTCTAGGGTAAATGAAGAGATCACAATCAGACGTGGAGCATTTGTAAGAGCGATGGGAAATATCATGCGCCGCAAAACAAGGGTCGTACTGGTCCAAGGAGGGGACTTTGGCAGAGAAATATCATAGCTCGCTCCATACGTCTCGAGGGAGCCGCTGGAGCGAACTCCACCGCATCAGCAGGCATGCACGGATGGAAAATGCAAGCATGAGATAGAAGAGAACAGAACACCTACCAGAACCGCGACAGGCGGCGATACTGCCGAACTTTGCGCGAGGTTCTCTCCGCGGGGCTCGGGACAGAGTCGATAACATGACATGTCTCATTTTCAAAGGAAAGAGAGTGTCATCCATCTAGAGTCAAGACCCACGGGACATGGAATTGACAGAACCTCATTTACCTCCATTTTATGGTCGCCTCAGGAATTCAGGAATTACAATCGGAATGTATTCGGGTAGAACGAGCCGCCGTCGTCGCCGCCGCCGATGCTCATCCAACAGCTTATGCTATCTCTGGTGGACGAAGCCTGGGACGTTGGGTCCCGCGGCGAACAAACTTTGCAGGATTCTCGGCTGATAAGTCTCTGGAGTACCATCCGATGAAAGTTCTCCATACATGTGATGACAGGACGGTTTCTGATCCGGAACGCACGACCATCGCATTCGGGTCACGTGTCTCCACTCGAAAACGACACTGACAGCCCTGGATGAGGCTGTTTCCCACTCCCACGTGACGGAAAGAAGATATAATAGCCTCTTGGTCGAAAAGACTCGGGACAGGGCCCACGCGACGATGTTTTTCTGCAGTCGGCCGCAGCATGTCTCTCTGTCAACGGACTGCGGCTGAATTCAGAAGGAGCCCTCCGATACGGAGTCCGTCACTCCTGGAATACCAAGGGATGGCAATTCTTTCCGTGATGCTCCCGAGAAAGAAAACGCTATTTCGAGAGTCTATTTTTCCAAAGGTGGATTTTTCCTGTGTGAAAGAAAAGCCGCTCGAACCTGAGGTCGGGGAGGCAAACGCCTCTGGCTGAACGCTAGCTAGGTCCTCACTTTGCGGGGTGGTGCCGATCGCTCTCGTTCGACAAGGGGATATTCTCTGTGATAGGAGCCGAGATGTCGCAACTGATCGTGGTTTGATAGAAGGAAATCCGCGTGAAGATCAGATATTAAGGAGGAACATGAGCTCCACCTCAAAGCCTGCAGCAGCCCGACGTGGGCTCCGGGTCGACTAAGAGGGCTCCGTCGGCTTCGAAGTGTCTCCTCGAGCCAGATCTCTCCTTGTGCACCTATACTGTGCGAAAGGCGGTGATCCGGAACGCGAAGAAGACTATGTCTTGGAGAAATGCGACGCCTGCCGAAAGTGCGCATTGATTCATGCGAGAAGCAGACGGAAGCACTCCTCAAGAGTATTCGACCTGAACGGTATCTCCTACTCTGCGAATCGTTCTCAGCAGAAAATAGACGTGGCTCTGGCCGGCGCTTCCTGGAATCACCGATATGCAATACGGCTCTCATCTGCATAGGCTTGATTGATTGTCAAAACGATCAGCTACGGGCCTGAGCACTTCGTGCGACGACGTGGAGAAAATAGCCGGATACGAACGATTCTCATGGTCTCCATATGCCTAGTTGCCGGACGATTTTCGCACGTGTTCGATAATAATAATTCCCCGATACCTCCGACAGAGTTCAGAGATTCGCGTTAGAAGGCTGGAACGCCCATACACGATGCATGCCCGTGCTTCCTGATACCGCTTCCTCGGCTTCTCGAAACTTTCTACGAGCGGAGTCGATAAAAAGAATTCGCCGGCTCAAGAATCCTCAGGGTACGAATCGAGGAAGTTTTATCAGCGTCACCTCGACTATCACAATGCATGAAGAGAATAATTCCGGAACGGATGGTCGGGATGCCGTTCCGATCCAGTGCTCGCACGAGCTAACCAGAGCGGACACTATCCGCAAGTTGCGCCACTTCATTCACCATTAGGTGAAAGATCGTTGAGCTTTCTTTCGGACCATCTCTGGAAGCGAGGATTGTTCGTTTCCCATGTCAGGAGTTTTCGTCCGGAAGTGCTCCGGACACCCAAGATATGGAGTTCATCCTCGCGATTCTCCGTCGCTGCTGAGAGCCACCCTAGAGGACTGTCTTCTTTCAAGTGTTCCCAAGATGTTAGAGTATCGCGAGAGACAATGAATCAATTAAAAATTGTTCTCGCGACACCGACAGGACCTCATGGGAAACGTCGGACTTCCAAGCGGAGCGGCGCCATGATTCGAGAATTCAAGGCCACCGTGAGAGCTCTTATCTCCGACAAAACTCTGTCTGCAGCCTTCGACGAATGCACGATGGGGACGCGACCTAGACCCGGGCAAAGTTCAGAACCACCAGGACTCGGCACGGAAACAAGCACCGCAGGAAGTCACTCGGAGCCTGGCGCCTTCACCCCGGTGAGCACCCTCGGAAGAATTTTCGCAATTATAGTCTTCTGAGCATTCGCTCAAATGCCAAGACCTCCGGATTTCTAGTTTGAAGAGTATTGCCCGACAATCGCGGGAACACTCAGAGCCAAATGCATTGTTCGGTCCGTCGTCGTATACAATGATTGTTTGCGGAAGTCAATTGAGAACGTTCTGTCATCGAGCTTCGATACGTCTTACCACAAGCGTACTCATTTACAGGACACATAATCATGTCCTGCAACCTTGTTTCGACTGATTGAGAGCCAAGACTCCGCTGGTTCCCCGCTCCCAGAAAACCTGCGATACTTCTCGCACAGCTTGTTCTGGCGACAGCATCAATCTCGAGAGAAACATAATACATAGCTTGTACCTCAATTATTGTCTCCAGAAGCGAACCCGATTCACTTCTTCTCAATCCTCACGCCTGCTGTGAAAACAGCTGTTTCCGTAGTTGAATTGCTAATTCCCTCGCTTGCAGCTCCCTGGGAGAACTCTGACTACCCGAGGGACTGAATGATGATGGCCAGGCGCGGAACAATTTCGCGGGTCTTCCGGGGAACTAAATCCTGGGGACGATTTCCTTGGTGAGCTAAACCGTGGGACTATCACGCCCCTCGCTGTTATGCATGTGTGTAACACGATCTCATCATTGATTCGTCTGCGTGAGTCCATACGTTCATCGATTTTCGCGAGGAAACGACCTTGCGGCCGTATGCAGGAAGGGCGATCATCCATTATTTCACAGAGAGAAAATCGAGCTCTGGACCGTGTTTTGCGGAGGTATCTGCGAACACTGGTTGCTGAAGATCGAATGGATTGAGGCGCTCTCGGTCGTTGCGAGGGGGAATTCAAAATGCTGCGTTCCCAAGGAGAGCTTATACAGCACGCGGCCGGACGTGACTTTACCGATTTATTGAGAGAAAGCGTCTCGCGTAGAATCATTGGGCGAACAGTCTCGATGAAATCCACGTTTCAGTCGCGCAGAAGAATCCAATCACGACCTACGGACTGGATTGAGTACTTCGTTCACAGCCTCGCGATTTCGTCACATTGAGACTCGGCTAGCATTGCCCCATCTGGACTGCCAGAAGAGAAGAATAATTGGTCACATCATCCTTTCCGTGGCACCGAGCTCTGATTGGGTGTCGGATCCAGCCAAAAGAGTGGTCATCACTCCCTCATTGTTGGTCCAGAGTTCCCGAACTCCCCTCACAGAAGGGAGACTCAAATCGAAGCACGCCTGCCGGAGGAGTTCGTGTATCCGCGGCTGCTCGCACGATCTCGAATAAGAGCTTCCACCGCGAGACCCGCAGGTGATTATAGCCTTCGTGCCGACAATCCTCACCCAATCAGAACTTGCGGCTAACGATAAGTCAGGCCGCGCCGCATGCAATGCCGTGCAAGAGTGGGATGACGGCGGAGCACAGGAACCGAGAACAACGGTCTAAACACATCGACCATGCGATTCCCTGCGTGCCGTTCCGACACGATAATGGCATGGGAGGCGGAGGATACACGATCTCGGCGAAAATCGTTGTCTGCCGATTGGGCAGTACGTTGCGAGCGAAAGTTGTGAGCGGCCCATCGCTTCCATTTGAGCGCTCATTCATGCCGATTAGGCTGATAGGGTCTCGTTATGGATGACGATAAGCACTGAAGAGCCGAGAAGGAAGTCCAAAGGTAAGAAGACAGAGGAAGATGAACCCGAGGGTTTGTGTGCGCCGTCGAGACCCTTCGAACCATCGGGAACCTCCTCTGTAACGGTCGCAAAGCGTTCTCGATTAGGTCTGGCTGAGGGTTCCGCTCTGTTG